GAGAGAGAGAGAGAGAATTTGTATTTCAAAGAGCCGATGGCGGTGTATTCGTTAATTGCCGGATATTGTAATATTTAAATCTATGATTCTCCGAGAGCATTGTAAATAAAAGCATATCCGTAAATTTACAGTTACATTAATAAACGCGATTTATGAACATATGTATTTTTTTTTTTTTTTTAATAAAATACGATTTGATTAATTTTATTAAGTACAGCAATTAATCGACTCGAGTCACGATATACCTGCAAGATCGACACCAGCGAAAAGCGATATTACCTCCGACTATTTGGCAGCCCAAGTGCCTCGGATATTTGGGGCAAATTACTCCGTCGAGACGCGTTCAGAATGTATCTACTAATCGATTTACCGGTAAAGACTTTACTAACATAATTGATCGAAAGGCGTGTCGCAGTGCAAATATGCAAACGACGAGCGTGCAAGGCAGTCTAGCGGTAAAAAGTTTTGTACCTTTGTGCAAAAGATAAAAAGATTGAAAATATATAAAACTAATTCAGATTATATGTCATATTGATTTTATGTTATATTGATTGTTTGAAAGAAATAAATCGTTTTAGAAGAGATGAGCAATTTCGTTAGAAACAATCGATCATTGTGGGTTTTTAATGAAAAATCTGTAAAAACGAGATGAACTTTTCAACGTAGTCGATGTAAGCAAAAAATCATATTTGGAAATTTATCTTTATGCTTGCATTGATCCAAGCGTTTCTTATGGGTTTAGATAGATATCTTATAAAAACGTTATTTAAATAGCGCACGGTGTTCCATCGACTGTTACGTGTAAAGCCTTCTGTCTCCTCAGAGTGTAGCGTAGTGTCTAGGGTTGGGTTTATTTCTGATTAGCATGAGTGCTGCACCGCCCCTTTATCAGCCTTTTAAGGTCAACGGAAAGCGGTCGATTAAAAAATTATGGTTGCGCGCAAAATCGCATGTGCATGTGCGGAATATGCGGAAAAAAGTCTGGAGCTGATAGATAATGGTGTGATCACATAAATATAGCTTCGTGCTAACGATCTTATTTTAAGTTTATTAATTTTTCTGTTTATTCATTTATTTTTCGCACGATCATTTTACGATAAAAAATAAATTAACTTGCGGATTATGCAGTACCGTCATATTTTAAAATTAATGTATAATACATACATTATGCTTACGTAAAAGGGTCATCTACTTTTCTATGACGATGAATGACATACTGTCATTCTGTTTCCCTCACAATATCCATGACACAATCGTAAATCGAATGTATTTATAACAGTATCTACATATGTATATGTATATACGATAATCACTTGATATTTTCCATTTAAAGTGCATTCAATTTCCATCATTAATAAAGATATCTATTTATTTCAAAGTTATGCACCTCAATATTTAACAAGCATATTTTTATATAATATTTGAAAAACTTTTTAGTTTTAAGTGTTATATATTAGTTATATTAATTTTATGATAATTAAATGGCTTTTAATAAAGATTAAAATTATGATATAATATGTAAGACAATAATAAATTTAATTAAAAAACATCATATTTATATAAGAGTATCCACCTCTTCGTTAACATTAATCGAGATATTCTCGATAAATAATTAAGTAGTACAAATCAACGATTAATAATATTATACTTTGATGAGTATTTTTTTTTATATATCGCGATATAGGTATACTTGGGTCCCAGAAGATGAAGAATCCATGAAGTTGGAAGGTCCGCGACCAGTATTACCACCTGTACCTCCTCCTCCAGGCACCATCACGACGATCCAAATATCGCAAGCCCCAAAGGCAAAGCACGTGAGCTTTGCGAGATCGCACACGCTCACGTCGTTTGAAGTTCCAAGAAGTATAAGCCCCCCGAGGCCACATAATCCAGAACGTCTTATAGACTCGCAGCCGACTATGCAGAATACTATACTGCCTTCGTCCTTGCCCTTAGTACATCCTTATCCCGGTGTTGAGCCACGTGTCCTCGTACTTGGTAAGTAGTATATTTTAATGACTGAATAGTTCCTCATACATATACGTACAAATACGAAATAGGCATACAAATTGTATATACATGGACGTACAAAAATATATCAATCATAAAGTTGTAAAGAAAATATTATACTTGGTTGGTGCGATAAAAAAATATATTATTAATTTATCGAGAATTTAATTTGAGATATGCATTCCGTGCATACTGTGCAGCAACTGTGCACGGATAAGTCAAGTCGTCTTGCTATTTTGATCCCAAGCCAAATATCATAGATTATGTGGGGAAAGTAGTTAAAGCTATTTACTCGCGGCCAGCTTGACGGTAAAGTTCGCTATAAGCTAGATCAACATGGATCAAAGAACTATCATCTGATAAAAATGCTTTAAAATAAGCAAGCGATAAATTGCAAAGGAAATTTTTTATACCATATATCAAATTACTATAACTTTCCGGAAAAATTTTAACCGTTAATTAAAAAACTTAAGTCCGGAAACTTAAGTTTAAAAAAAAAAAAAATTTATTCCGTAAAAAATTAAGTACTACTAGTTCTATATTTCGACTTAAACTTTAGTTTAATTTACTTACTACTTTAATTTTTTCCTTTTAAACCGTATTTTTAAAAAAAGTTTAAATTTTTTTTTTTTTTTTTTTTTTTTTAAACCAAAAAGTTTTACTTTAAAATTAAAAAGGTATAATTTACCAAGTAAATTTTTTTTTTTGGTTTAATTAAAGTAAGTTTTTTCTAACTTTTTAATTAAGTACGCTAATTTTTATACGGTAAAAATATTTAATTGTATTTTAAAAATTATTATAAGGTAATTTAAAATACTAAAGAATTTATTAATTGATTGATTAATTGAAAAACCAAATTGGAATTTATTTTGAATTTAATTTTTTTTTTTTTTTTTTACAAAATTTATATAAAAGATATTTACAGATTTTTTTGTTTACATGTTCATTTTAATAAGACACTATTTTTATACGGAAACATTAATTGTATTTTATTATTATAGGTATTTAAAATACTAAAGAATTTATTAATTGATTGATTAATTGAAAAACCAATTGGAATTTATTTGAAGTTAATTAAATTTTATTTAAAACAACTTTTTGTAAGCCTTTTTGTAACGAATATCGATAAATTATTTTGCAGTTTACAAATATTGAACTACGCCGTGTAGTTTGGTCGACTTCTAGCGATTTATTTGTTCCAGAGAAACCACCTAAACGTGGCGCCATGAAAACTCAAGCGACGCAGACCGAGATCCCGGCGATGTTTCGTGGTCGTGTACTTCCGGTGACTCTCAGTCCCAGAACTATCCACCGCGTTAAAATGGTTTCGCAAGGTGCTCAAACGAATGGCGTTTTCAACGGGAGAAAATTGACCAAAAGTTACTCGGAAGCCGGACAGTTAGGTACGCCGCTTGGTAGCGGCCAGGCTGGTACACCAGCGAAAGATGAAACCGAACACGAACCACTTCACAGGACACAAAGTGAAGAACCACCGAGGTCGCCTTTTCTTATTTCAACAACACCACCACTTCCTTCTATCACCACCGCCACCGTTGTTGTTGAAGAAACCTTACCAAACGGAGACATCGCAATCGTTCCCGTCGATGTTGTAAATATTTTTACATAAATTGTTATGATTTACGAAGAGTTGTAATTTGCTAAAAATCAAGTGTAAAATTCACATTTTTTTTCATTTGATTTGGACAGCATCGATATAGTAAACCATTTTATAAGTTATTATAATTAAAATAAGAAATCATCCATTCTATGTTCGTTTCAGTGTCGTCCACATCGTAAATCTCTTGATATAGACGACCAGGAGATTTTTATAAATTTCAAACCGGCACCGGTGTCACCAGATGCTCGGGCGCTTCTCAGCCGGATTTCTGAGCCCACCCGTAGATTCCTTCCTCTTCAGAAGACCTTCTCCGATGGCGAAATCCGTGTCGAGAGACGCGAACTCATTGGAGAAAGTAGCGAGCCGAGTTATCCTCACACCTGCAGAAGGAATCAGCAGGATTCTTGGGGCAGAACTGTCAGAACACCCGTCCAATTTTCCTCGACACCTGAGGATCTGTCCTTATTACGAAGTTTGTCGCCTCATGAGGATCATCACGAAGAGGTAAATATACTTCTAATATACTTCAAGGTATATTTTACAAAGAGAAGTACATCCGAAAGTATTAACAAAAATCTTGATTAATTAATCGTACCTTTTAGGAGTTCCATGAAAATCTAATACGTCGAGGTCTATTTCGAAAAAGAAGCGTATCCCTCGAGGATGGTGTACAAGGTCTATCGTCAGACGATTTCATGCTTCCTAGGTCACTTCCAACCTCACCGACATCGCCAACCGCAGCAGCAAGTACGTAGCGTAACGCGATATTCGCAATCACGTTGCATTATGAGACATCTCTTAAAATACATATTTTTTTAGCGACACGAAGGATTGCGCAGACCCCGAAGGACGATTCGTTGCCTACCTGCGCCTTACTGCACACCGCGGTTTGCCCGACCGGGTACAGCACCGGGGCCGGCGTCGCCGGCACCAGCGTCATCGGCCAGATGACTTCTCCGTTTGCCTCGAGTGACTCTTTAACGAACGACGTGACCAGGGACCACAGCGATGGAATATGGAACGAGTCGCAAGCGACGGTTCTCCAAGCTGACTCGTTAGCTTTACTGACGCCGTCCTCGAGGAGGAGACATCTCCTACTTTTGCAACATCAACAACGTTCCTCGATGGACACCGAGGCTCTGGACGTTAGAAGACGAGGTGGAACCTTGTCCGCCGAGTCCGAGAATACGTCTGGAACCAGCCACTCCGGTGCAACCCATCACACCAAGGTAGTCGCTAATGATTTTTTTTAAAAAAGTTTGTGATGAGGGACGTTAAAGTTATTAGGTATATATATATATATATATATATATATATA